TGGCCTCGCTACTACGAACAAGAAACTACTAGGGGTTCCTGGCCATAAAACTAGGAGCAATGGTTGCACATGGGCATACATTGGGCCCACCTGGCCTCCCCCTGCACCTCGCTCCGAGAACGGCTGGGTTTCCGCTGGTGGCAGGACCTCGCTCCGGTGCGTGCGGACTGGCACAAGCTGGTGGATAGCCATGTGGCGCAGCTGGGCAGCTCAGAACATCACAGAGGGGTGTGTATTTGAATGTACTTGAATAGGACCCCCAGCCGGACCCCGTGACAAACGATGGAGTTTCTTCATTTTTGGAATGCATCATTATGGAGTCTTGTTCAACTCCAAGTGGCTCTTATCCAATGTGGAAGTGACACTGTAGTCTGGCTCAAAAATGAGAACCGATACAGGTGTCTGCTCCACTTATCTTGTTAACTCACAACATCATCATAATAAAACAAAAACAATTTCAGACCTTCAACTTCAACAGAATCATTTGGTGCCCTAGAGCCAATGACTTCTTCATCCTCATCATCAGATTTGAGCTCTGGGACAAGCGCTGTTGCCGCAGATGAGGACGGATGGGTCCAAACTCGAATTAACTTGTTTGATTGTTGCCCAGCTATAACTACTGGAACATACTGGAACTCTGTATCCCTCCCATGTAGTGACCGCCACCAGTCACACAGGACCCTGGCCTGCCCCAGCCGGCGATGGACTATTTGGACGAGACCGGCAAACTTTTTCTTCACTCTTCGGGAGACTCCGCCGCATCACGCGTCACGCATTTGTCCACTTGATTGCTTAATTGGTTAATTGGTTAATCATACTCAACTTGTGCGCTCATGTTCAGCTATGTTATGTTTGGCTGACAGCCACATTGAGGATTGGACAAATGGATGAAATCCTGGAAACACGGTTTCTTTTGCTTCTCATCTGACTGCAACTATGTTGCAATAGTTCTGGAGGAGGTGGGGGGGACGTTTTGGGGGAGTGCCATTTTGTGCACTGTGGTAAAAGATCCATTGGCAGTCTAGGTAGTGGCGCTGACACGCCATTCATTGGGCTGCAGATGCTTTTCAGTGCTGCTGGCAAAGCCGATCGCCTTGTCCACTTGCAGCTTGGATGTTTGTGGGTGGGCTGCTTTGGAAATAGTTTTCTTCTTGCTTCCTCATATTCACCAGCCAAAGAGTACTTTAGATTTTGGCAGCGGAAAAATACAGTAGTTGGTTCAATCCAGTTTCGACTATGAGGTCTGCTTCAGAGATCCATACTGCAAAGCGGAAGTTTCTGAAGGACAACTTCGATATTTCTCAGTTCCTTGGTGTAAAATGTGTTCCTAGGCACTGTACTTCTGTGCTGTGTGCAAATTTGTTTGCTAAGGCTGACTTCATCAGTCTTGAAGCAGGACAATAAGCCTCTAGTCAACCAGGCTGTTGGGATATGTCGAGTATTGGGTTGGGCCGCACCCCATCTCATCATGATTCTCATTAATAGATCGGGCTGTACTTTTGAAAGGGGCTGTCCTGATCCAGATCGATGTTCTGTTTGTCAACTTGCTCTGGCCAGGTGACTTTATATTGCGCGGGATTCCCCTGCACTCCGTTCTCAACACTTGGGGGTCTTGGACGTTTATCTGATCCAAACGCCAAGCAATTGTTTGCATGTGTACATCGGATGAAGAAAACCCGGCCCAAAGCTGCTCAGTGAATCTAGTTGTGACATGTTGCGACACATTAATCAGTCTTGTATTGTTTCTTTGGATTGACACCGACACTTGCCCCTGACTATACTACAGCATCTAAGGTTGCAGTTCTTGAGAATGTCATGGGATTTTGCACTGTATTAGATAAAGTCACCAAGTTTATTAGCGCAAACTTGCCTGAGCATCTTGGATGAGTACTGTTCTGTAGAATTTCTCTAAAGGGGTTCCTACCAAGAAATTACCTTCTATCTCAGGTACAAGATGGTCTATGTGATCATGAACCCGCCCTACTTCTGCACTTAGCTTTGGGGGGGTTCAACCGATCGGCCACTGCGATCTTAGGAAAAGATATGGTGCTCCGATCTGCCGGAGAAGGATTTATCTTATCCTGATTCAGGAGTCGGTTTTGAGCCCGGAAGCGCAAAGGGTAGGCTTTGACAACCACATCAAGAAGGTCTTGGATGATATGAAGCTCCCAGCCAAAACAGGGTGGACCCTTGCTTAAAATGTTAGTCAAGAACACAGCGGTTTTAGCTAGATTCAATTGGTGTGAATTCCACCCTGCTCCAGTTTACAGATTGGTTGATTCAAAACCTAAGATTGAGGATGGATTTGCTACTTCCAAATGACCATCCAGCTGTTGTCCGGGACATGATGAAACGCAAAAGGCAAAGGACTGCTGCTATGGCCAAGCCTCTTGTCTTCAACCCGCTGTACATTACAAACCGGTGCATTAGCACATGTCCAAATCAATCGTGTCCCAATATGGTGTTTGATTTTCACTTTGGTTTTCATATTACGCTATCCTCAGGAAAGTGGACACTGGGAGGAAATGGATCAAACGACATCGTGATTGGGCGAAAGACAACAAGGTGAACATTCAATGAAAGGTTTCAGCTTTGTGTTCAATGCAGTTGTCTGTTTCTTTTGGCTGTATCGTTGTACTGTCAATGTTCAGCAAGTTAATTCAACTGGTTCAATTTAGTCATGCAGGTCTCAGTGAAGAAGGTGAACCGCACGCAATTGTTTGCACAGAGATTCCCAGCTGCTGCCAAGCAAATCACAAGCTATAGGGAAATGGAGGCTGGTTTCTTGTTTGTTTGATTTCCTTTATCTTATTGAATATTAACAATTATTGTTCTTATACCAATGAGAGGGGTGAAACATTGTCTGCCAAACAGGCATGCAATCTCCTGGCAGCATGCCATCCAGAGATCGCTGTGGTCAACACGTCTCAATCTCTTGGGCAAATGCCACTGCTTGAGAAGCAGTCCCAAGAGCTGATGTGCCTCACGTGTCTCGGGTTGCAGATAGGTGGTGGGTGTGTTCTGGCTGTGGAGTTGTTCTGGCTGTGTTCTGGCTTAAAGTTGTATTCACATTGACTGCTTACTAGCTTGAGGCCATCGGGCAAGTTTTTGGTCACCAGCAAAGGGCGGTACATCATAGGCCGAGAAGCGATGATCCTTATGGGCATTCCAATCAATCGGCTCAAAATCAGCTCATGCAGTGAGCGTGTTTCTTATCTATGATATGTTTGCTCATCACTTTTTATTCAATTTGATGTTGCTCCGTTTGCTTTGAGAGGGGTCTAAACGCGCTCTCAATGGTTGCATGAGGTTTTGCATAGCTTTGCCGGCAATGCCATGGCTATGAGGGCCATTGTGCCATGTATGTGTGCAGCCCTGTCTGCATGCTCTCCCAAGCTCCTTGCTATCGACCGTCGATAATTCAAGAAGTTCCTAGCTAATTGGATTTCCATGGGGGATCCCAGCTGATGCAATATCGCGCGATCATAATGCTGTGTAATGTTGGAAAAACTTGCTTGGGGCCAACCGTGCTGTGACACATTCAGATTGATACTTGTATCAGTTCTTAAGTGTTTTTCTGAGCAGGTTCATATTCCGCACAGTCTCAAGTCTAAACAGTGGGCCATCAAGAGTTTACCCCCAACAGTGGTCAGATTTACAAGCGCAAGTGGAAGAGTTATGTTATGCTACCTTAATCATGCTACCCTGTGGAGACTTGGCCTTTCCTCGGTTGGTAGTTGCCCTAGTCATGTCGTTGGTGCGGTGGGATGACGATGCTGACTCCAATGCTGGCAGCGGGCTACACCGCTATCAGTCTTCAAGCAATTCAAGTGGATCTGCTTCTGACGATTCGCAGCCTAGCTGCATAAATTAGAGAACTACAGCTAACTGAAAAGGTGCGTGGGTACCACCATGACTTTGACCCATTACATTGTAGCTCTGAGGATGTCATCTTCAGCTGATGATGAGACCTCTACAACAATGTCCAACAGTGAAAGTGAAAGTGGTACTGACGACAATGATGACAGTGATACCTATCCTATTGTCGATTTGACCTATGAAAGGTTGCAGTCACTCCATGCCACCGGACGAGTGAACAAGCATGAATTGAGTGATTATGCAAAGAGAGGGATGAAGGGTACTCGGGTGAAGAAGGCTGTCTTACAACCACGTTGTGAGTGCATGTGCAAAATGCCAATCAAGTTGCTCTACCGCATCTGCATTGCTTTTTGGACATTGACCAAACCAACACAAGACAGCCTACTATGGTCGATCCAGACTGAATCCGGAAACCAGAAACGCAAGCGATGGCATTTGGCAGGACCACGCACCAACAAATCGATCAGTCACTGCACATGTACATCAACGCATATGTACAGCAAGAACTGCCGCAGTTGAACACTGACTTCTTTTGTAATCTAAAAGGTAATGGTAGGTTCCTCCAAAAAGTTTGTGGGTTGATATTCCCAACATGGATACTGACCCAGTGTTTGCGCAGGATACCCACTATGCAAGGAAGCTTGGGCCCATTGTCTTGGTGTTGGCAAGCACCGCTTGGGACGTTGTCGCCATACATTCCAGGGGAAAGATGGCAGATCTCTTTCAGGGCCTGGTGGAAGCTTTGAACAAATCTATGTTGCCACTGCTGTCTACCTGGTCTAGCATGATGCCATAGCATGATAATAAAGTAATGCAAACCGTACGCAAACCCTGCTCATGGTCACTCACGGCTCAGGATCTTCTGCGCCGCCTGCGGTGAAATCAGCCAGTGTCACCAACTTTTTGGTGAACCTATACTGGACAGCGGCAGAACCAATGTCGACCGCGTGTCTTTGTCTGCATGTTGGGGCTTTGGTTAGGTGAAATGAAATGAAATGAAATTACTGACACATATGGTTGCTTCACTTTGATTGCTTCACTTGATGGTTGTCACGAGTCACAAGGATTCTGTCCAAGACCAGCATCAACAAGGCCAGTGAGGACTTGCAAGAGGAAGTTCTACAGCGTCTTATCGACTGTCGACTGATGGGTCCGTCCACTCAATTGGCTTTTAACCATGACCCAACCCGCTTGGCACTGCGCGAACTACCTCACGGGTCTTGGTCCAATGTCTACACCCTCTACCAAGCCCATTGCAAAGCAGGTCAAGAAACCCCAGCCTCGAAGTCTACATTCTTTGCTGTTTCTCAGCAATGGAGAT